GTGACTGCTAATTGACACCAGGCTGTCTGTCCTGGTGAGAAAATTGGTCTAAACCCAGGAACATGGTTGCAAACTCTGTAAACAAACTAAAAACCACTGGACAACACGTGTACTCTAGTTGGGTGAACTATATTATCTGGATTATAATCTCCATAAAGCTCTTACCAAAAATTAGCATGCCTGATGACATTTGCCAGATCTGGTAAGAAGTCTGGGGAAAAATCAGGTGACTGACTCACTCCAGATGCTGAAGGACCCACGTCCTTCAGCACGTCCTGGTCCCTGACAGCCCTGTATCCCCTCCCTGAGCCCACCCTCTCTCATGGCAACCAACAGACCCATCCTAACACTCCACGCTTCGTCTTCCTGTCTGGAAGAGAAACAGAGGCCAGAGGCAGCGCGCTGTCATGCAGCTGGGACCCGGGCACCCATCAGGGAACCACCAAGGAGCCACTGGGGTAAGAACTAGCATGGCACGCAGGTGGCTGCAAATGGGTGAGTAAAGCCCCAGGACCGACCCTGAACAATCCAGAAGCCATGTCCCAGCCTTGCTCCTGGATCTGCTCTCCAATTTGTCCAAGCCCCTGGGCACCAAGCAGCCCCTCAAGCTCATCAAAGCCACATCACCCCAACCTCACCATTCAGACATCAAGAGGCGCGATGTGTATGACCATCAAGTCTCTTGCTTCAAAGAAAGCTGCCTGTTAGGATCTCTGCGCGGAGCGGCCCCACATACCATCGGCCAGGCTGCCGGAGGGAAGCGAACTTTGGCTCTATTTAAGCCATAGCCTGTGGGTCTCCCTCTCAGTCTTGTCTCTATCCTGTTATAAGCTGGGCATGGGGATGTTGTGTATTTGGGGGCCAGAGAGCATTTCAATGCTTAACTGCTGGAGGACTGGTCATGACGTCGTCATCTAAACACTCAAGGAGACTTTCCTACAGAGTCTTTATGACAACTTCATGAATCAATAGTCACAGAATGCAAATGCTACACATTTTGGTCATTTTGAGTGCTTAGGACACAATTATTTTTTTTCCTCTTTTTTTTTTTTTTTTTAGTAGTAGTGGGGACAGAATCCAGGGGCACTTTACTACTGAGCTATCCACTACCACTTTTCAAAATTTTTAAACTTTTGAGACAAGGTCTCAATAAATTGCTTAGGCCTTGCTCAAGTTGCACAGGCTGGCCTCGAACTTGAGATCCTCCTGCCTCAGCCTTCGGCATCACTGGGAAGATACGTGGTTGCCACTATGTCTGGCTGAAACTGTTACTCTCATTAAGTAAACACTTAAATCACACAAAACTAAACTTTCAAAGGAACCAATCATTTACATTTTAAACAGCTGAGGAGCATTCACAATTTTAACCAAGAAATTATTTGTAAGACGCTCTAAAGGGTACAGGATCTATCCCCAGACAGCTTAAGTTGCGGTGGCAAGAGAAATTGCCAAGATTAAACATGATTTTCGATTTCTGTAACTTTCTTCCAAATAAGCTGACGACTTAAAAAATGAACCAATATGTATGATGTAAAGCTTGATGATGTAAGTGTAACCACACGGGCTTGATCACAGTCTTCAACTCTCCACACCATTAAGGGTTGAATGGGAAATGATAAATTTTGCAAATCAGGTTTGTTGGAATTTTCAGCCAAGCGTCACGTGTGGGTGAACTGTCAATGATGGGAGAGGCAGGGTCACAAAAGCCACATACACCTTTGGTAAATGAACAGGTCAGGGCAGTAACCATGCCACAGAGACGTCCACTCATCACTCTCCCAGCAAGTTCTCCCCATTTCTATCTTGATATTCCAGATGACCTTGGGCAGGTTACTTTTTGTCTATGGGCCACTTTCCCAGTTTGTAAAGTAGGGATTATACTAATTGACATCTGCCTTCTCAGGAATGCCAGCCTCCGGAACCGTTCCACACAGCACTCAGAGCTGCCTGCTAGAAAACTCTCCTCTCCCTACCAACCACGATGGCTGTGATTCACAATCAGTCAAAACTCTGAATCTCGGTTTTAAAAATGCCTCTGTCTGCTTTTCTGAGTTTGCCTGGCCACTGTCATGCACATGACCAGTAGTTGTCCCCATTCTGCCTCTGGGGGCATGTTTATCTGCATTCACACAGACTGGGGCATGGGAGGTGCTGAGAACCTCCTACACCTGAAATCCACACCACCTGGGGTGTCACGATGGGTGCTCCCGGTCTCATCCTTTGCTGATGAGTAAGATCTGCTGTTCGCTCAAGGCTCCCTCATCAGAAATGTTACCCTGATCCTCATTTTAAATGTATTTTCAATGTTCTATTTCTAGCAAAATGTTTTTCTCTTACTATATGTAAGAGATCAAGGGAAATAAGAATTTGCCTCTGAAAGGTCCTTGAGCTTAAAGGTAAAATTTACATGAAACTTTAGGCTCAATCTACAAACCCTAACAGGAAGGAAGGAAGGAAGGAAGGAAGGAAGGAAGGAAGGAAGGAAGGAAGGAAGGGAGGAAGAAAACAAAAGTGGCTGGGGGTACGGCTCAGTGGGTAGAGTGCTTGCCTCCCATGCACAATCCCCAGCACCACACACACACACACACACACACACACACAAAGAAAACAATTGAAATTTGGGTCAAAATAGAGATGAGATGGAGACTGTAAAAGGAAATAAAAGGAATAGAACATACTGATTGTGAATAGGAAAAACGAAGATCACGTGTAAAGGATAAAAACAAACACAATAATCAAAGCAGACGCTGGTGCACATACAGAGAGAGGCTCAGGTCCCCAGAGGGCAGGTCAAAGAGAAAGACCATGTGGACTTGGTGCTCGGCTTTCCTGCATCCTGAAAAGACGTGTCAGGAAAGGAGGGATTTTTCAGGATCCAGAAGTTTGACAAGGGGGGGTCCTCATTTGCAGGATGCTCCATGCTGTAACAGACCGGGCTCTCAGTGGTAATTAAGGAGAGCACGTGTTTTTAAACATGCAGTTTCTCTCTCAGTCAAGGCTAATGACAAATTCCTAGAAGGTTTTTACTGTTAAATTTTCCCTTGAGCCATGATATATATATATATATTTTTAAGTCTGAACAACACTGTAGATTCGGGGTGGGGGGTGGGCGGCTCACATCTTCATTTTCAGGTGATGGGTTAAGTGTGGCCATGGTAAAGACGCCAAGTCAGAAGAACAGTACTCAGGCTCCTGGGGGATGATCGAGACGGGCTGGGGAAGCTCTGGTTGGAGCTGTGTGGATGCAGCAGCTCTGAAGCTCAACTCCATCTTACAGTGACATTTCCAACTTTGTTTAACCACAGTGTTTAGTGTCACCTGTAACTCTGGCCAAAGGCACAAGATGAGTTAGGCACCTGGCAGGGTTGCACGGGGAGCATCTTGGATTGAATCGCTCTGAGAGATCATGGCAACCCGAGACAGCAAAGCAGAGCCAGAAGGGCAGGCGGGGCACAGTCCAAATGGCCCCCAGAGCAGAAAATATTTACTAGCTGGTCCTTGGCAGAAAAAGTTTGCAGCTTCCTGATAAGACTACTGGAATCCAGTGTCCCAGCCAAGGGAAGGGCTTTGCCAACAATCTTGTGCAGCTTGATGTGCTCAAAGAACACCTGAGATCAATTCCTTCTACTGTGCAACATCTTCCTGAAGCAGACATTTGTCCTCAATGCAGGGCGACTGGTACTTCTTGCGAAGTTTTGATTAACCACAGAGCAAAATGCACCAATTCTACATTTTTTTTGTGGTCCAATAAGTAAGAATTCAACTATAAAAACAAATGAGCAGGTGTAGTGCACACCTATATCCCCAGCAATGTGGAGGCAGAGGCAGGAGGATCTCAAGTTCAAAGCCGAGTTCAGCAACTCAATGAGAACCTGCCTCAAAATTAAAAACTAAAAAGGACTGGGGAAATAGCTTAATCGTAGAGTAACGCCCCGAGTTCAATCCCTAGTACCAAGGAAAACAAATTCGCACCCTTTATTCTAGAGCCAAAATCCCTGGCAGAGATTAAAAACATAATGGATGGGACAATTTTCCCATTATGAAAATTCTATGATTAAAACCATGTTCAACTAAAGAGTAAGAAGTCTGCATCTTACAAATACATATATTTCGTTTAGTAAAACCTGAGCAAAGGTTTGATTCAACCATGCCAGCAAATAACCTGTTTTTAAGCAGACACAGACCTATGAAACCAAATGGAACTTAGGAAAGGGCAACATTCAAAACTGAAACGAAGATGCAGATACTTGAAAAACAGCAGACCCTCAACAGCCTGCAAAATCCCACGAAAAGTGCTCACTGCCCCTAGCCGAGGGACACTCTAAAACCAGAGACCAGGTAGCAGCCGTGACCATTTTAACCTGAGTACTTTTTTTTAATCTACCCTCTCAAAAAGTGAATTTGAGAGAATTAAATGTGGCTTTAATTCATCAAGTGACATTAGCCTCTCTGAAAACTTCTAATTCTGAAATCAGGTTCTCGTTTGATTTTCAAGTGAACAGGGCAGCCTAGCACCCACCTTCCAGGCACTGCTGCCCCCCACCCATGGCTTGGCAATGCCTGTTGCTAGGGTGCCTGACTCTTAATTTCTGAAAGAAGGTGATTAGGGAGCAGCGAGATGGGCATCTACTGGATGACAGGACGTCAGCACGGACATGGACATGTGCCACTCTGGCCTGCAGTGAGCTGGAGTTGTGCACCGCGTGACATGCATGTTCCTTCCCAACTGGAAACCCACCATGTCTACGGGCAAAGGGAGTCAAGTTCAGCCTCCACCCACTGGAACACTGGATCATGTTTGGGGGAAGGAATATGAATCTGTGGACCATTTTTTTTTAAGGTTCTACGATTTCACACAAAAAAAATAAAAAACCCAAAAACATGCTGCATACATAATTACACAAATCAACACATGCACCTTCGACAAATAAAGATCGGGAAACAACCTGGAAGGCGACAGGAACTGTTCTGTGAATTCCACTCGTCGCATTTGCATTTACCTTTTTTGGCGTCTGTAAAGCAATCTTCAGTTACAGTCACCTCAAAAGGTCACTTGTCACCCTGAAAACAAGAGAACATCAAGATCTGAATGTCGGGGAAGTGGTCACCAGCGGAGCACAGGACACACGCGCGAGAGGCAAGCAACTTGGAAGGGGATCAGCGGCGAGGCGCGGGATTCCGAGTCTACCTGGACCGCGGGCCTCAAGCGCTTCCAGACCACCGCGTCTGTGTGGGTGGGAAAAGCCCAGGCGAGACACTTCAGATTTGCCTGTGAACTTTTCCTCCTCTTGTCATCTATCAGTTTATTTTTGTGTGGAATAATACGTGACTCATAGGTCCTTGTTTTTGGAAACCAGGCCGCTCTTGAACAGGGCTCTGTTTGGTTAACATCACAACATCTCTAATTTCATTAAAGGAGAGACTTGTTTTTTGTTTTTTATTTCATTCCCCTCTTCAGGCAAGAACTCATTCTTGTTCACTTGACCACTTTGGACCTTTCAAGATGAATAAGAGCCCCACGGTCCTCGGCGTGGGGAGGGCTGGGGGGAGTTCATGGTGGTGAAAGCTGTTCAGAGAATGTTCTGCACTGCATCTACCAGATCTCCCAGGCTAAATGAAAATGGTTCGTGGCACATGAAATATGCCACTTCCATCGGGCCTCCAAAAACACATATCCTACCCCGCCCCGCCCCGGCATCTGCCTGCTCCATCCACAGAACAGTGGGTAATCCTTTCAGCAGCAGACTCGGCCTCTTTCTGCCCGTGAAACTGGGACCAACACACACGGCACAAGGGGAAAGCAAAACATTTGTTTATTCATTCAGATCAAGTTACTAACAGGGTACAGGATTCACTCTGCCGCTGAGGACCAAATGCTCCTATGATTTTTAAGACAGAGAAATCAGTCCTTAATGTGATCAGCACGCTCATGTCCCTGCGCTCACTCTTCAGAACGGTACTTAGTGAAGTGGTTTCGGTTTCATTCGCATCTATCCCTCCCAGCCCTCTGCCGTCGGCCCCAGTGTGAAAGGCAGCATCGCTGAGAGGAGGAAAAAGCTTCTTTCACCGGGGCTGAAAATTTTTAAAGTGGCACTTTGGTGTGTGCCATCTTTGAGGAATTGATCTGAGGCCAATTTATGACATTTCCCCAGGCAAGTGTATGCAGATTCTTGCCATTAAGATCGGAAAAAAAGATGCAGGCTCTGGGTGAAATCATCATTCTCGTGTTTATTGTAAGAGGAAACTGCAGGTTTCACCATAGATGTTCACAATTTGGGTGGGGGAAAACCCTAGTTCAGGGACTTGAAATTACTCTTTTGCAACAACCTGTCCCAAGCCTTTTTTTTTTTTCTTTTGTTTTTACACAAAACAATTCAGATTGAAAATGAAATTTGTGCACTTTACTGCTGATCTACGTCCATAGGATGGGTGTCTCCAGGACAGGGAAGTGCTGTAGGGCAGGCTTTGGGACCTCAAGGTACGCCAGAGGCATGGCTGCGCCCCACCACCGGATCAGAGTCCCCCTCAAGAGGCAAGTGGCACTGTCCTCTCTAGGCACCAGGGTACCCGCCACTCATCACAACTGACTCCCGGGGAAAGCCAGTGGCTCTGGCAGGCAGCTCTGGGTTCCCAGCAAGCCAGCCCTGTCCCCGCGTTTTCCTTGAGGTGCTCTCCAATGCACACGCTGAACTCATCTGTAGGTTCATCTGTGGAGCTGTGCCTCTTCCTGCGTGTTTGGCAGCGGGACCTATCGCATTGGGATTTTGCAATGCAGATGAGATTTGCTATCGTAGAGGGCCTGGCAAACAACTGGACCTCATTAAAATTTAATTTTTGTTTTAAATTGCTGAAAATGCTTCCTTGGAATAAAGTTATCTCTGTGCAGCGTGCGAACGTTTCCAGGTGATGCCAGGCCTGTTCCTTCCACCCACCCACCTGCCCAGGCACAGGAGCTGGCGAGCACAGACAGAAAACCAAAGCAGGCTCACCTCAGGTTTTATAAGTGTAATGTTATCCTCAGAGAGTCAAAACAAACAGGAGAGGAATAACAAGAAAATTATACAACTGGCCCTCTGACGTGTATGCATGAAAGCAACACAAAACTGGCCACGTTTAATTTTCACCTCTACATAAGAAATTGGCAGTGAGGTATAAACTATACTCCATCAATGTTAATGCATAAGCATATTCGGCCATCCATTAGTGTATTTCTGTTGCATTTTTAGAGAAAGTATCCATTAGCAAAGGAATCTAAAAAATATTTTTCTAGCTTTGCTGGGATTAATAGTTCAACAGCTGTTTGCCATCATGCTAAATTAAATGAAATATGTCAATATATCTAGACAAGAAAATTAGGGGGAAGTACTGAGGTCTGAGTTGGCATCCTTACAAGCTCAGAGGAATAGGAAATCAACAACTAGAAGAAAAATCTGCATTTGGGGCTTTTTTTTTTTTTCCAAAGCATATAAACTTCCGTTTCTAAAACTGTATTTGCCATTTTTCAGTCACTTTGATCAAATAAATCAACTATTTACCTGTATGTTTCCTGGCAGTACCAGTACCAGGACTAAAATTAAAACGACCATGTAAACCTTTAAGTTTAAAAAAAAAAAAAAAAAAGATTAAAAGAAATAGATTCCCCTCCAGCCCACTTGCCTTTTAAAAAAATGCTATCACCATACAAATTGCATATTTTTTCTATTTTCCAGTTTCCTGCTAGCTTGAGGTATACAAGTGAGCAGGATATGGTAAACAGAAATTGCTGATTTTCCTCTATGTCACTCTCTGTAACCGTGGAGATGCTGTAGAGGCCTAGACCTGCTCCAGGGTCTCAGCACTATGAATTGCAATAGCACCGTTTATCTGAGGGTACCTGGTGACCACATGGTGGCTGCCACCTGGGGTCAGAACCGTAACACTGCCCCAAGCACAATCCTCTACATCAAGAGGCCTCCCCTGCAGCGCCCTTACTACTCTAAGGTGTCTGTGTCAGCCTCCGGGGAGGGCACATGTGCCCTCCCCGGATCAGCACCATTCAGCATAGGCCCTGCCTGGAACCCGGTCTCAGGTCTGAGCAGAGGTAGCTCGCCCCCTGAGCACTAGCAGCCAGAGTATTTCTCCCATCAGGATCACTTGAAATAAATGGTATGCATCTATGTCACATCCCAGAGTCGGGCAGGCCAGCTCTGGAGGGGGGCCAATGGATTTCATCTCCAGCTTTGGCTAACCCTGGCCGAGAACCACAGTGAGTGGTCTCGGCAGGGGTGAGACCCTGGTCCTCAAAGCAGGCAGCGCAGGCAGTGTGGCAGGCCTCAGGTTCCCATCACCCCCAGGCCTCCAACTAGAGGGCGCAGACTTCACGTGCACAAATATGTCCCAATGGGCCCAGTTCCAAGAGACGGGTGTCTCTTCAGGGACGAGTCTTAACTCATCCTGGGCTTACTGTGCAATGATTTCTTAGAGAACAGCAGGATACGCCACACATATCTGACTAGTGGAAAAATTAAAGCACCTGGGTGACTTTATCTGCCACACCTGAGACGAGAAAATCCACTTAGATCTGGACTCTGGAGTGTTTTCCCCGAACACGAAACTTCAAATAGAGAGTCAGGCGTATGGGAAGAGGGAAGGAGAGAGAGGGGAGGAGGAGAGGAAAGAAATGGAAGAAACAGGGTAAGGAGGAGGGATGGACCAGGAAGTCAAGCAGCGACCAATGGCCTGCAGCCCAGGTCTCCCAGCCAGAGGCCTCGGACGCAACCAGCCACAGTACACAAGCCCCTCTATTTCCTTTTCTTGTCTCCATCAAAAAACATGCCTGGGGGTTCCACCATTTCCCCAGCTTCCTCCCACTCCAGCTGGGAATGGTTTGCTTCCTGTTCCTCGCCCTCTGGGACCTGTACCAACTCACAGGGCCTGACCTTGGGGTCCATTCCAGTAGACTGAGGCCTCGAACAGTAGACCCCAAGTAAGCCACGTGGTACAGGAGCCCAGCCAAGAGTACCTGGCACCACTCCAGCTGGCAGCCCCTCGGGAACACTGCGACGCCCCTTCCTCTCTGGGGAAAGGGCTCTGCTCTCGCCTGCACCCAGTTAGAACCCTGGCCGCGGTCATGGGAATACTGTACAGGTATCCTCTCACAGCCTTTAGGAGGTGAATCCCAAACAATATTTGCTGTTTTGCCTTTGAAGCCCTAACAAAGCCTTTGTTTTAGATTTACCTCCAGTGTGCAATAAGAGTTAATAATCAAATCCATCCCAACCCCCACAAATGTTAAACAGAAAGATAAAAGAAATGCAAATAGCTATTGTCATGGAAAGTTAAAGTACCTGTCTGTATTTTTAAGTGAAAACTATTATCTCTATCAATCAAAATTTAAGAATACAATAGCGCTAATCACAGAAGGCAACTCTGACGGAGTTACTTTTCCTCATAAAAAAAGAGTATTTTTCCCTCTTAAAAACCAAGGATAAAAGTCATATACTTACAATTAGATAGCGTATTTGTAATTTTATTATTAAAAACCTTCACCAGCCTCACTGTTAATATGCCTCTAAATCTCTAGACTGACTTGTGCCCAAGAAGACCCAAGTCCCCACATATTTTAATAAGATTGATGAAATTTTATTTAAATTCTCCCAGTTTCCAACCTGCGGGGGAACAGCACACTCTTCTGTTGAAAAGAGTTACTCCGGCGGAGCAGCAGTCGGCTTGGAAGCAGAACTGCAGACCCTGGACCCGGTTCCCACCCCTGGAACATCTTCGGGGGGATCCGGCCTCCCTGAGGGCTCTCGTCCTCTGCCTGGGCCTCTTCTTTTGGAAACAGTGAACGTCTGCCCTCTCCAGGGAGGGAGAAGAGCCAAGCACACCCCAGAATGATCCAGACGTACAGCTCAGGGAATTCTGAGTCTTTTTAAATTCACTTTTCTAAGCTTGCATGAGTCCTGAGTATGGTGGTTTCTAAAGACTGTACCAGAACACAAAATAGCAAGACCCCAGATAGTAAAACAAAGCTCCTGATTAACATTCCTCTAGCAATCAGTGAGGGCAGGATGCTGTTATCAGAGAGCCTGCCTGGATGGTGTCTCCTCAGCCATGGGGCCAAGAGCCTGTCACTTCCCCAGTAAGATCAGATTTCCTCCCCAGCACCATGGCCATCATCTCTGTGCTATTAATATCAGTGAAGAGGCGACTCGGTTTCCACAGAAGAAAACCCTTCCTCTTCCAGCAGGGACCTTCAGGGAGGACTGGCCGGCGTGGACAAGCCTCTCGCTGCCCTGTCTGCAGTGGGGTCTTGCACACTGTTAGAAGGCTCTCTGCAAACAATGGCAGCATTATCTGCAGGACAGTTTCAAAACAGGATTTGTTAGGACAAAGAATAATAAAGCCGATCGCACTCTTTCTCTTTCCTTCCTAATTTCCCCCAGTCCCCAGAAGCCTCCCTCAGCCAGCCCCAGATCGGCCACCTTCCCTCGGAGGCACCTGTACTTGTCTATTTCAACATGGGCAGCAACTGCCAACGGCCCGGGACCGGGACGGCTCTCGGGAGGCGCCCACAGGGGCAGCAGCAGAGTGGCCTCTGAACCTCTGTGAAATGAAAGGAAGGCAGCGGCCTGGCGCACACTTACCCGCGCATGGTGAGGAGGCAGAGCTGTGGGGCGGCAGGGCCGTGTGCATGCAAGGGAAGAAAGTTGAGACTTTGGAATGGAGGAACTCCAGGCTCTGGAAGCCCCAGCTCCAGGGGCTCCTGGGCTGGCAGCAGTGTGGGGAAGGACAGGAGATATGTGGCTAAACACAACAAAAGCCACTGCCTTACTCTAGATTAAATATGCAGGAAGAGGCCCCTTTGCATAAACACAAACACTCAGCAAATGAATAACCGGCTCAATCAGTCGCCCGCTGTGCCTTCTACCTGTCCTCTCTCTGGTGGGAGACTCTGCCTGTTTCAGGGGACACCAGAGAATGGGAGATGGCTAAATATTATGTTGCTGTCATAACAATTAAAATAAATAGCATTCATTAGTAATTAAGAATTCGCTCACAGTGGGGGGTGGGAATGAGGGACTCATGCTATCTTCATCCCAAGTACTCAGAGAAGTACTGACACTGTACCCACCGGTGGAACGGGGAATTTTCCCCAAAACACGACCCCAAAGACTGCCATTCGAATCTCCAACACTCAGGGCTTTAAAAAATCACACACTTTGGTCTCAATTTAAGGTCACAGATATACTTCTTGTTTCGAATCTTTGGGCGTCTGTACAAAGGTAGACTTGTCTATGTTTATAAAATGCACATACATAAAATGCACACAGACATGAATGTACACACACATGTGCATACATACCCACACAGGACATGCCCGCACATCTAATGAAAGAGAACATGCGCACGTGCACGTGTGCGCGCGCACACACACACACACACACACTCTCTCACACACACACTCACACTCACTCTTCAGCTCACAAATCATTTAAGAAAAATAATGTGAGTTTTCCCCAAAACACATCTCGAAAGCTTGCCTTTTGAGGGTCTCCAATCCATGACCACCCATTTAAAAACATCACCCATGTAGTAGAATGGATGCTTTTAACTGAGTGGCCTCAACCACTTATAATTTCAATTAAATAACATAATTACCATCAACAATTTTCTCCATTTCAGCAGAAAATATGCCATACCTCAGTGTAATTTATCCTTAGAACCCGGGAATTTAAGCAAGAGGAACAGCAAGAGCTGGGGATCCCAGTGCCTTTTCCCAAATTGTGGGACCCCGAATTCTCTGTGGTCCAGCTACATGCTAGTCTTCGTAACGTCATTGTTTTTTAAAAAATGTTACTGTATAAAATGATTTTGATTGAAGTATCGATAAGATTATGTCAGTCTGCATTTTCTAGGACACGCAGGACGAGGGGCACACCAGGAGGGCTGTATCACAGGACATCTATCTACCTTACTGCACAGAGGGCAGCTGGACTGCCGGGCCCAGTGAAATAAGGCAGCCATACTATGTCAGAGGCAAACCTCTCCACCAGCACAGTGCTGCCTGCTGATGATATCCTGCTGCCAGAGTAGAGGATGGGCACTGGAAAGTCTTCCAAAACAATTTTGCAAACCAACCACAAACAAACAAACAAATAAAAAAACAACCCTATGTCAAAACCAACAAGAAAAGTGCACTTCCACCCAGGGCGGTCACTGAAGAAAAGAGAAATAAAGGATGCCCAAAGCCCTAAAGAACCAAATGTGGGTCCTCTAAGAAGAACTCTGTGGAAGCCAAAGATACCACTCTGTCCCCTGCTCTGCCTTGAGGTGACCTTCCAAAGAAGGTGTTAGATGGCCCAATCCCACAAAGATAGAGATCTAACCTTGGTGCAAACAAGCCACGGAACAGAATTTAATCAGTATATCACCGTAAAAAAGCCTTTGTCCATCCCAACGGAGCCCCTAATGACTGTTTTGGCAGTTCTAGGGGTATTTATACTTCCCAGCCCATCCATATCTCAGGCTGGTATAGCTGCTAATGGAAGTGCTGTTAGTGGAATACAATATTAATGCTCCATCTCCTGCAAACCTGGGCCACTGGCCACAATTATAGGTGGTATCTAATTCCATAGGTAGCAGATACTGTGCTCTGAATTAATATTTTAATGACAGTGAAATAAAGACGGCAGGCCAGGTAAGGGGTCTGTGTGTCGAGGCTGGCCAGGCTCCCCGTGGAAGAGCGTGGACTACGGGAGCAGACAGCACCGACGCGGGGATCGGGACCCAAACTCGTGTGCAAGGCTTAGATGCTGAGTGACACGTACTGATGAACGGAGTCAGAGATGTCACCAGACACAAGCGCCACTCCTGTGTCAGCCTGAGAGCTAACGCAGGGGGAGGACCGGCCGGGCAGGGGGCGCCTTCGCCCTGAGACCTCCAGAAAATAAACAGGGTGTACAGTTTCAAAGACTTCAGACAGACATCTCATTGTTCAAGCCAATTATCAGCGGAAAATAATAACAACAGATGGATTCAGAGTCGCTGACTTTTCATATGCACTTCATCTCGGCAGAACAGATGATGAAACACGAGAGCTATCTCCGAAAGGCAAAACATCTTGCAGTAAAAGAACTCCACAGTCCAGATGGGGACCTTCCAAGGCTGCTGATTATCTTCCTATAATGTTGTAAGATAGACTTACGAAAACATTTCAGGAACTGATCAGATATGATACGTACAATGGCTTCATTATTGGAAAGAGACACCTCGGAGTTGGGCCTGACCCCAGCAGAGATTGCAATAAGGTTAGGACTGTTTCCTGTTTCTCAGCGGGGACTGTGGGTTCCAGCTAAAACTGCAAAATCTGTGGACCACAGGAGAATAAACCATCAAGCAGCCCACATTTGTGCTCTTCTCTCGTTTGAGCAGAGGAGAAAGAGAAAGTGGGACTGGAGAAGGACACTATTCCCCAGCGTTCTGTGGAGATGGGAGAGGGGGGAAAATAGCTCTGAAGCAATTCCTTATTAAAAGCACTCCACAATAAAAGATCATCCCTGACGTGCAGCTACAACATCTTAAATACCCCTTGCCACTGCTGATTGCAAAAGATAATTTGCTTTTAGTAGGAAATAAATATAAATTTCAGAGGTGGTGTGATAAACAGTTCTAATAAATGCCAATCAAACACTTCGGCAAAATCCATCACCACATACTAACCCACTCTCACTAACTTAATACCACCAAGTGAGGTTTACTGGTAAAACCCCGTGGTAAACCACAACCTGAGACCCCGCCATGAGACATGGAGAAAGTTAGATCTCTCATTCGAGAGGCCTCGTTCCTCCTGGAGTGACAACATATCCATTCTGTCTCCTTCTCTATCTCCATCAATTCTACATTCGTTAGTTCAAAAAATCTTTCCCTGTGCTAAGAAGGGAAAAAAAGAAAAGAAAAGAAAAGAAAAGCTGATCCTTCTACTATTTACTAACATACTTAACATTGAAAAAATATTTTTTACAAATGCACTGTTGACTTCACAAGTTTATAAGTATTTTTTAAAAAAGAAAGAAAGAAAGAAAAGGAAAGGAAAAAAAAAAAATCCCCCAGCAAGGCTTTTCTTTCAAAGTAGTCTGACAAAAGTAAATTCGTAGCAGAACACACAGGCACGAAGAAAATACTGCCAACGGCAAAATTCTGCAACTGCTTTAAGAAATAAACAAGAACACAAAGGATGTCTAATGCAGCCATCTGCCTCTCCTCACACGGTATCAATGCCTCAACTGCATCCCCGCCCGAGCAGCCCACTCCAACGACGCAAAACCAAATGGCTCCGTGCCCGTCTCCTGCACACGGACCGACACAACGCACTCAGGATGCAAGAGTTGATTTTTACACAGAAGCCGGCATCTTTCTGAATTCCCCCACTGCAATGATTTCATCAGCCCTGTTACTTATTCAGAGTGGGACTTCTCTGAAAACCACCAGGACTTCGCGGTGAGGATGTTCTCATGTGCACACCCTCGCTCAGTCTCCACAGAAGCACCCTTCAAAGCCCTCCCCCCACCCGCCACCTTGCAGGAGAGTTCTATCACCAGGAAGAACTTTCGACGTATATTTCAATTAGAACCTTTGCCCTTTTTTTGGGGGGGGGGGGTGGGCCACAAAATTGTAGGTTGTTTACTCACTAGTTGAAATAACTGCACTAATGTTTTTAATCACTGCTATTCAACCAGCTCTTCCCATGGTCACATCTGGCTCTCGGAGGTTCCACGTGGTCACTTTCCTTCTTCAACCCAGTCTTCACATTTATTAAGCAGCTACTGTGGACTCAGCTTGCCTGCCAGAACATTCCACTAGGAACTCCACGGTTTATTAAAAAAAAAAAAAAACTTCTGACACATTTTATTTATTTACATACTTCTTTCTGCAGTCAGAAACAATCCATGTCTGAAAGTTACAGCCCAGCTACAGGATCCAACTACTCCCAAAAACTGGGAAGGAAGGCTTTAAAAAAAAAAATTCTATGTTTTAAAAACTTAGTTATACATGATAGTAGAATGCACGATGATGCATCATACATGAATGCTGTATAATTTCTCATTCTTCTGGCTGTACAGGATAAAGAATCACACGGGTTGTATAGGCGTAGGTGCACATAGGGTCATAATGTCTGATTCACTCCACTACCCTTCCGCCCTCCCCTCTGCCTAACCTAAAGCACCTCTATTCTTCCCTGCCCTCCCCCCTGTTGTGAGTTAGCAGCCCTACAGCAGAGAAAACATTTGGCCTTTGGTTTTGGGGGATCTGCTGATTTGGCTTAGTATGATAATGTGCAGCCCAATCATTTACCAGCAAACGCCATCATTTCATTCTTTCTGAAGGCTGAGTAATGAAGACTTTTAATGGAAACTTCTATTTGGGTAAAATCCATACAGGGTCATAAATACTCTGCGACAAAGGGCAACAATTTCAACAACACAGAGAAGGGGCCCAGCTCTGCTCTCCTTGCTCTTGGGCAGGGCGCTCTTGAAGCAGCCCTTCTCAATCAGCCTGGAGTTGAGAGGGAGTGGGGGTTTGGAGGTGGGGCCACACCTGCCTTGTTTGGCCTGCTCCCTGGGGGCCCTTTCCCCCAGGCTTGTGCGCTCAGTGACTCCCTGAGCGGAGGAGGCCTGGCAGGGTTTTCAAGGGGCTAGTGCTCTGTTCCCTTCTGGGCCATGCTGCCCCCAGAGTCCCCTGGTCTGCACAGCAGTGGTCGTCTGTGGGACGCACACAGCAAATCCGGCCACTGGAGGAGGCACGTGGCTGGTTCAAGCCTGATCCAGGATCTGCCCGCCACCTGACAGACACGGTGGTGACTGCCTCCCAACCTAGGTCAGCACACCTGCAGCCACACAGTCAGCTCTTTCCATGGTCCTGTCTGACTCTTGGCGGTCCCAGGCTCCAGTGAGAGGGATTCTGTCACATCACCCTAGGTGGTATGCATCTCGATTTTGGAGAAAATGTCAGAGTGTCAGCTCCAGGAGGGCAGAGACCTCATCTGATGGGGGACTGTATTCCAGAGCTGAACAGCAGCATCTCACGGCAGGTGGTCAACAATCTAGGAGTGCAGGGACCCCGCCAGCAGGGTGCCACTGTGCCAAAATACTCCTGGGCCCTGCTCCAGCGCCCCGAGCCCCCTGCCAAACTTCTGAGGGGTAAGGGATGATGGGAAAACCCGTGAGCAGCTCCACAGCTCAATTTTACCAGGCGCATGTTGACGCAAGAGCAAAGCTGCGGACCTGGTCACCGTGGCTGGAAAGCCCTCCAACTATCCTCCCCCGAAAACACCCGGCTCCCACCACTACCTGCATCCCAGCTTCAAACTTTGAAGCTTGGCACCTATGTGCCCAGAGTGCC